TGTTCATCCAGCCCTGCACCTTGTTGTCTCGGATTCTCCAGCATCTGTAGTTCCTACTATCTCTGACTATATTCTGGATTTGTGTTGATTTAGATCAAAATCGATTTGAAGTTGTGTTTCATTGAACTCATATTAACTATACGGATTCTAGATGCTGCTGTATTTACATCTTGTTTTATTTACATTGGATTTTTTTTTAGGAATCCAGTGGAATAACATGTATGATACCCCTGGAAATGGGGACAATGTGTCTTTTGCCTGGATTTGCTGGATGATGGTCATCGATTCAGTGATATACTTTGTACTAGGCTGGTATCTCCGCAATGTCTTCCCTGGTATGCAAATCAATTTATTTTATCCATGATGATTATTTTTTACTGAATTATCCTTTTAACATTTCTAATTGCCACAGTATAATTCGGGGAAGATATTTTAATTGAGGAATGTGCAATAGAATAAAAGAAGAGATGGGGCTCCTTGTTATCTGTTAAGATGATCTGGACTCTTACTTAATGAATTTTTAACTTGCAAGTTATTTTCTTTTAATAACTGCAATGAGGAATATCTATTAAAACTCTGCAGGTAACTTCAATTAAAGGCTATTGTACTATGCACACATTAATGTTTGCTAAATCTTATTTGTGTTGCAAATAACTGTGTAAAATGCATGCAGAATTGTAGAAATTATTAGACAGATCGAGACCATATGTGCCACTGTGAGTTCTGCATTGAAATCTGTGACATTAGTTCAACTCTATTTTTCTCCCCATATATGTTTATATAATTTTTCAAATATTTATTGAGATCCCATTAAGAGAATGTCTTCTGCAAGTAAATTTTATGAAATCACACATCCGGTGCACAGCTAACTTTAAAATTGTGTTGCAGAGAACGCAGAATTCTGCAGTATATTCTGTTCATTAAAATTGATGGATAGAAAATCTTACAGGGCACACTAACTTCCATGCTTGCATTCTTGACATGTCCTCCCAACTAGTGAGATGTAAAATTCATAAACAAACACTTCCATATTCTGTCTCAGTAACCAGTTGTAAAGCAACTGGTTAGCAATTCCTGATTAAATGATTATGTATTTTGTGTAAAAATATCTTTCAATATCTTCCATCACACTTTATAAAAATAATCTTGAATCTATTCTTCCTTGGTGCAGATTACACCACTGACTATCTTCTGAAAAGTTGAGATAATTTGGCATTTCCAGAAAACTGTTTAGCTTCTGATCCTGGTAGCATTCCAAATCAGCTTTGTACCATTTCAATGAAACCAATATCCTTCCTAAAATGCCATGATCAGAACTGCATGTAATATTCAAAGTATAGCTCAACTAATGACTTCTACAGATATATTCATTTTCTCGTTTGTTTAGATCATTTAATTCCTCTACTCTGTTAAAATATTCCCTCTATAATATTCATTATTTCCCCATTTGTCCCAAAATGTACAATTTCACATTTATCTGCATTGAGCTGCATCTGCTACTCTTTTTGTGCTATTGTTTCTATAATTTGAAAATAGAAGAGGTCCTAGCATATATCTATGTCCACATCCCTCTAGTTTAAAAGCAGCTATTTTCTTTGATTCCCTCTAGCCATCTCTCAATTTCTGCAGTTGCATTCTCTTTAATATAATGTGCCTTAATTTGCTGCAGGTGTATGTGACAATGATTTATGAAAATCCATGCGTGTACCTTAAACACTTTGTATATTCTATGATATCATTAAAACATCTAATTCAATTATCATTAATTGGAAATAAAACAAACATTTGTATCAGTTGTATACAATAAAGTAATGGCTGACATATTCCAATATCCATATAGTCATTGGAGCAGTACGCATTGGTGTTTGTCTCAGGATCATGTGGAATACCAGGCACAGCAGATCCCTCCAAAAGGATCCATTAAAAGTGGAAATTCTGGAGAATTCTGCTTCTGTATATTTAATAGTTTCCCAGGAAAAGTTAGACAATTAAAAACCTAATCTAACTCCTGAATAGTTATTGAACTGACTGACTGAAACACCGCAGTCCCCCATCAACCCACTCCCTCTGACTTCTACTACACCTCCCAAACTTCTTATACACCAAGACCCTGACAGCCACTCTCCCTACACTGTCCCAGGTCAAGACAATTCCACCCCTTACCTCAAACCCGACCATGGCACCCTACCACTACCACTGTCTTGACTCCTGTTGGTCTTGACCCCTTCCCTCACCATTTGCTGGTCCCAGCATATGCAACCTCGCTCTGTGCCAGCCCTGGCATCAACAGCTCGCTCTCTGACAGACCTGATACACCCACCAAACCCAACAACCACACCCCCCCCACCAGATCCAATATCCCCACCCTGCCAGACCCACTAGACCTTCCACTTCCATAGTTGAAAGCTCCCTCTCATGCCGCTGAAGCTGTCACACTCTTCCCCATGGTGTTATACCTCCCTGGTTGGCATCTCTTTCAACAACGTGCTTCCCTGCTAGACATGACACCTCTGGACCCCACTACATGACCTCAGACCCAAACTACATCCCCTGTGACCCCCAAATACCCTAGATCTCCAACAGCTATCTAGTACTCTAGCCATCTGGTACTTTGGCACTCTTCTCAACTGGCACCCTACCCACATGGCACATTAACCCTTAACCGACTGCCACCATAACTCCACACTTATCTTACATGCTTCCACTATCACAGGAGCTTTCTTACTGTCTGGCAACGCTGCTGGACATTTTAAATCACAGAATACGGTACACACTGCTGTAAAAGAGGACATGGTTTGACATTTCCTTACTATCCTGCACTACAAAGTAACTATTTGATTTCAGGTGTGTTCTGCATTTCTGGAGGAGGGGATATGAATTCCCTGCTACTAACATAAAACTCAGTCCTAATGGGAAAATATAGGAGCAGCATGGCAATCTGACTGTGCTTCCCATTCCTTGAAATCTCTGAGGCAATAGTGACTCATTCTTATGTTCTTTTGTCTGTCCTCTCTGTTTCAAACAGATTTTCGTGAGTAAGATGCTATTTAAGGAATTGGCTATGAATGTATTTATGGATTTTTATCAGTATTTGTACACTGTAATCTATGAATTATTGGTGCATTACTTTTCACTTTAACAATCAAATTTTAGGTAAATGTGGATCTCGGAAGCCTTGGTATTTCCCCTTTACCAGTTTGTATTGGAAAACCGTGTGTGATTGTGCCAAGCACTTTGACAGAAAGATCGGAGAAGGTTATTGGGCCCAAAATCTTGATTGCTACAATCAGCAAATGAATGTTAAAGGTAAGATTTGAATGTTTTGAGCACTTCATTTTTCTTTTGTTTTGATAATCTATTTAAAGATATGAAAAAGTTAGTTTTCTGTTGCACCTACCTCAATTCAAAATCCCCTTCAGCACAACAATCCTCGAAAAATCTTTCATTTGTCCATATATGTTCCCTTGTGTGCTCACATTCCTTTGCCCACCAAGAAATGCTGGCCAGTCAGTGATGCCCACATCCCACAACTGAATAAAAAGAAAATGTTTTGCACCCTTCTTGTTTTTATTTTCATTCATGTTACCCAAAGTCAATGTCATTAGAAGGTGAGTTTGCAATCTGGCAACATAATTATTGGTAGTTTTCCTTTTCAGAAATAGAATGGTAAGTTGAACTGAATTACTTGGGCAATGCTAACTTAATAATTTCCAAATGTAATATGTAGATTTGTGTGGTAAGGGATCTTGAACTGTGGATTGTAAGCCAGCATCAGAAATCCAGGGCTAAAAATGTATTTTAGGATTCTGACCTGTCATTGCAACAATTTCAAACAAATAAATATGGTGAACATTGAGAGCAGCTGTAAATTCTAAGGATCAGTGTACTGGCTACTAGTCATGTGTATTAACAGTTTTATTTTCATTGGAATTATTACCAGTTTCTCTTTGAAGTGAGACATTTACACACACTCAGGCCATTTGATTTCTAAACCATATCAGATTCTGAAATTTGTTCCAGTTATATATTTTATTCTCGGTTTTCATGAGACGATATCAGAAAGATATTAAAAATAAGTTTAGGAGGTAATATTCTTCAAACCCAGCTCTGTCAGTAAGAATGAGATTGCCATCAATAGTTACTAATGTATAATTACCATGCTGGCAGGTTGCTGGAAAAGGTTTCTGGTGTGAAATTACAACAGATATTTTATCTGTTCATTCCTTTCAATAGGAGACCCATTCAAATCTATGGATTTGTCTGGGAAAGAAATGACACCTCCCAATTTGAATATTGGAGTTGCTTTAAGGTCACTCACCAAAGAGTTTAAACACAAAGGAAAAGTGGCTGTTAAAGACTTAAACCTTGATTTCTACGAAGGAGAAATTACTGCATTATTAGGACCCAATGGAGCAGGCAAGACAACAACTATGTAAGTGATGCGTTGGAATGTATTGATTGAACTCAGAATAAATGGTGATTAAAAAATGAATTCTGTCCTGTTTGAGCTTTGCACTTGACAATAAAGTTTCATCAGTCGTCAAATTAACCCATTTATTCAATAAATGCTCATTTTTCATACAATTCTGTAGTGTTACCTATGAAGTCTAGCGGAAAACCAAATTCCTCCCTTTTCATTCCTGAGGTTGGTTGCAGTAGAATTTGAAACTTTAAAAAGAGGTTCTTGACTATGTCTCAAGTTGTATGAAGAAATAAGCCAGATATACGTCTTTACTTAACAGAAGTGAGGAGTTAATTTTATTGTAAACTGTGATGATATCATGGCTTTAAGAGGTGTATTTTGTTTTTTTAATGAAGAAAAGTTGAGACAGAGGTGCTGGGGCAGACTGCTGAAATCCAATAAAGTAAGCAACTTGTGAGGCCTTGGGTTTTTTAAAATTTGTGACAATGGAAGCAGCCTGAATGGATAGGGTCAATCTTCCACAGAACCAGGATTTTTCATTTTAGCTTTCTGCAGTTGCTGATTTCTTGAGGCTAGATGTGGAAGCTCTTATTCCTCTCTCTGTTACAGCTAAAAGCTGGGGTTCTGCTCCTGCTGCTAGAATTGCACGTGAGACAATCTATTTTATTGAATTTGCCTTTGCCAAAGGTGTATTTACAGCATGTTACTATATTGGAAGAGTTAATTAGTAGTAGTTAATAATATATATTGTTTTGTTAAGCATTTTGACAGTTACAGTTAAGCCAATTCTTTTCTTTTTTATTTTTATTTTATCTGTATATTAACTGTAGTGTAAAAATAATGTGTTTTGCTTAAAGTCAAAAAGTTTGACCAATCTAATTGCATCAGGCACAAGCCTTACCTTTACATTTAAAGTAAGAAAATGTTAGGGTCTAGGCAATCTTATTAATATATTTGAGGGGGTTTGGTCTGGTCCTAAACTAAACTCCCCCAAACAAAGTATGAAACTTGTTAAAAAGGTTAAGCCATCCTGAAGCCTGCAACACATATGTACGTTTGTATGCAAAGCAGGTCAGGGAGATTGACCTGGAATAAAGTTGAAGTCCATAAATAAAAGGAATTATAGATTCTGATGTTCCTTTGGTCGTTGTGAAGTCTAGTAGAACTGTGGCTGATGTCAGCTGATTGCTCTTCTAGGGTAAATTGCAATGCTTTTTTTTGGAGAGAATGTATGATGCTTGCAATTCCTTTTATTTTAAAATTCTTTACTCTGTGAATTTAGTTGAACTTGTAACAGAAGTGGGCTCCATGTTTAAAGATAAAATAGACAGATGTTACTAATCTACTCAGTGGGCGTTCTTGATGTTACAGCCCTTTGTACCAAAAACAATCACAGCTTTCATAAGAGTGAGTTCAGGCATATGATAGCTGACTACTGGCATACTCTGAAATGATTAATGTTAAAGAAAGAGTTTTGTTCTCCCCTTGTCAAGGCTATCAAGATGCTATTAAAACAGTTAGGAGAATCCTCTGTGCCCCATTTGGTAGGTTTCTTTTGTGCCCAATAGCTTCTACAAATTAGATTATTGTTGCTTATTGATCTTGTTTTTTCAGATAATTCAAACAATGGCAAGTGTGAAATTTTGCAGGAACACTGAACAGATATCTCTCCTGTTAATGCATATCAAAGGTTTAAAATACTTGGTTGCTCATTTTTTGCCAAGTGACCTCAGCAGCCATTTTAAAATTTAGGGCCCTGGCTCATTTAAAGGTGTTCTTTTTCAATTGTAAATCCTAGCTATTAAATCAGTAAATAGAATTAAAAATCAATAGTCCATATATAACAATTTGGTGAGAATAGATAAAAATTTAGTTAATAATCCAGGGTCTTTTATTTTCCATTTAATTGTGTTCTGTTTCCCTTTGAATCAGTATACTTACTGATGTAGAGAAAGATTGGTTTATGAACCATGTTAGATTCTGAGCTGTAGATTTCTTGATATACTGGATGCAAAACTGCATAAAAGTTACCAGTAATGGATAAAACCAGTTATGTCAACAAAAAAATCCATTTAATTTACCATGGGTAAAATTATTATTTAGATTGTCTATTAAATTAACTGAATTTTATACCAAGCTTGTATTTACTGTGGAAATCCCAAGTGTTTTGCTGAAGTGTATGCTTTCTTTGGACCATTTGGAAGGTCCAATTGCACATCCTAGAATTTCAATGGAAATATTTGTCACTTTTGATGTATTTGGAATGAATGTTGACTTGAGGGACAACATAAATACAATTTATTGGTGGTATTAATCCAGGCTTAAAAAACATAACGGCGTGGTGCCTCAGTAGCTAGCACTGCTGTCTCACAGCACCAAAGACCCAGTTCCAGCCTGACTGTTTGTCTGGAGTTTGCACATTCTATCCAAGTCTGCATGCACTTCCTCTGGGTGCTCCGTTTCCTCCCACAGTACAAGATGTGCAGGTTAGGTGGATTGGCCATGCTACACTGTCTGTAGTGTCTAGGCATGTGCAGGCTAGGTTGATTAGCCATGGGAAATGCCACAGTTATGGGGATAGGGTATGGGGCTGGATTTGGATGGTATGCTGTTCAGAGGGTCAATGCTGACCGGATGAGCCAAATGGCCTCTTTCTGCACTGTAGGGATTCTATGATTCTGCCAGAACTACATACTTAATGTTTGCCTGAATCATTGCACTGTGTCTTTGCTTATTCTGGATTGTCTGAGGGACCTGGTAAGGGACAGAATCTGGCAAATGTTATCTGAAGATTAGCTGCAAGATTGGCTGCTCAACATTGGCAATTCCTACTTACGTGATATGTTCGGGACCAGCTATAATACAAAAGGAGTGTGATATCACAAATGAGATGAGGAAAGCAGCCAGGATATTGGGGATTCGACTCTCTGTTGGCAAATTGATGCTGGATTTGTACAATGATAATTAGATGCTCCAAGTACTGCAGATTCCAGTACTGGAGAATTAGGTAAAATCCTGTTGCAGCTATTGTGGTAGCAAGATGCAGATTTTAGGGGACAATAGTTTTTCAAGTAATTTGAGGAATTTAACTTTGGTATTAGTGAAAAAGCACCAATCAGGTTATGTGTGTTCAAAGTCAAGTGTATTTTTACTTTTGTGCATGGAGAGTTCCTTAAAGTTCTTCAAACCATCTAAAAACTGCATAAGTCTTAGGTTAAATAGAACATATGAATTTGTGGTGAAGAAGAATTACACCACAAAAAATTAAAAGTTACTGAGCTATTGACAAGTAGTTCATTGATGTATTATGGTCTATTAACTCATATATAAAATCGACCCCAAGGTAATGTGTTGTGTTTTGCCTACTATATAGGTCAATGCTAACTGGCTTGCACCAGCCCAGCTCTGGGACTATTTATATTAGAGGGAGGAATATGAATCGAGAAATGTCAGTCATTAGAGAAGAGCTGGGAGTGTGTCTGCAACATGATGTGCTGTTTGAGAGATTAACAGTGCGTGAACATCTCTTGTTATATGGCATAATAAAAGCACCACAGTGGACGTACAGACAACTGTTGCAAGAAGTGAAAATGTAAGTCTGAATATGTTGCCTTGCCTGATGAACTAAATGAAAATGTTTAAAAAGGGTTTTGCACAAGAGATTCTACAATGCTGTACTATTTTCTTTTAGAGTGTTTAGGCCAAATTGCAATTGAAATCCTGGAACTACCAGCGCTGTGGGTATACTTTCTCCACATGGAATGTAGCAGTGAAGAAGGCAACTTGCTAAGACCTTCTGAATGAAACTTGGTGGGGTGGGGGTTGAGAGGCACAATAAACATTGGTCTTGCTAGTTTTGCCTAAGCTCCATGAATAATTAAAAAAGAATCAATCAAACAAGGTGGAGGAATTTCATGCACAAATTACATGCAATGCAAATGGAGTTTCCATCTTATATTGCACCAGTTTGATAAGTTTTGAAAGTTGCTCACACACAGCACTGCTCTTCGTTCAAACTTAATGAATCGAAGAGTTTTGCAAATCTGTTATTAGTATTTGAGAAGGCTTAATACAGAGACAAAAAACGCTCAGTTTAGAACTTTTACGGTATCTTAAAATAGAATAAGAATTGACTAGTGTGCACAAAAGATAATTAATAAATATGTCTTTTTCAGTTATTTACAATTAGGTAGCTTGCAAGTAATGTACAAAATATGATTAACAATACTTTTTTTTGTGATAAACTCATTTTCAACTGAATAAATAAAGTTACACCAAGGTACCACTCTTAAATAGTGATAAAAACAGATAAACAGAAAATGCTTTAAAAGTTTGCCGTTCATTAAAGTAGAAATGTCGCATGACCTGAATGGGATGCATCCTAGAATGTGGAGAGACATGAGGGGTGAAATTGTAGATACTTTGACCATAGTTTTTGATCCATCTTTACAAGTGAAGTTGGTGCTAGAAGATTGAAGGATTACAAATGTTGCACTCCTGTTTAAAAAATGGTACAGGGACAAACCTGGCAGGGAAGCCTTTAGGGGAAGTTTTTGCAAACTGACTTTATTGAATTTATTGAAGTTAGTGTAGTAAATGGAAGTCAGGAATTAGAATTGAATCTCGTTTGACTAGCTTGCTTGAGTTCTTTAATTCAGTAATGGAGAGGGTTGATGAGGTGAATGTAGTGAAGGTTGTGTACATGGATTTGCAAAAAGCATTTGACACAGGATAATTTGCAACATTGAAGTTCAAGGCATTTAAAACACAATGGCAGAATAGATATTTTTTCAAAAAAGGGCATGAACAGAAAAGAGAAAATTGTGGTGAATGTTCCTTTTTTTCATGTTGGAAGGTTTGGCATTAGGATCACTGCTCCTTTTGACCCATATTAAAGGCCTGACTTGGGTATACAGAGCATCATTTCAAAGTCTGCTGTTGACACAAAACCAAGGTGTATACAAAATGACTTCAGGAAGACATAAGGAAACTGGTGACATGAGCAATCTCATCTCATGTTGGTTGCGGTTGGACGCTGTTTTTCGAATATATGCTGGTTGAGTGGGGTCAGTTCCTTGCTTGTTGCGAATGAAGGGATGTGCTGTTTGACATAGTCCACCAGTCTTTGGGGCATGCAATCTACATATCTGGCATTACACTGGCATTGAAATTCATGCACCATCTTCTTGGCTTAATACATTTTCCTGTTAGTGGCAAACACCACTTGTGTTACTATGTCATTGTAGAAGCTAGCTTTACCTGTTGATCAAACTTTGGAGGTACCTTTTCTGATGTAGACCAGACAGCTTTCAGGATGAAAAATGATGGCCTTGGGTAGGTCATGAGTGTTTTTTTTGATATGCAGTGAGAAATACTTTGATCAAGGTAGGCAATATGCAGGCTAATATATGTGTTCAGATTCCTATAGTTCCATGCACTATAAGATTGACCTTATTACCAACGTCATAAATAGAGTCCAAGCTGTTGCTCACGAAGCAAGCTTGATGCTAAAGTTTGTGCATCAAATCCGTTCTGCAGGATCCACCTAGTTTAACACATACGTTACCTTTGAGTCTTAATAATCAATATTTTGTATGTAAAATTATCATAATTATATTCCCATCCCTTCATGACCTCACTTTTGCCTACCTTCATAACATTGTCTAATCCTTCACAATTTGTCCAAATCTGCATTTCTCCAATTAAAAAATGAAAGAACTGGGAATGCGGGAAATCAGAAACAGAATTAATTCTGAGGAACGGTCATTAGGCCTGAAATGTTAACTCTGATTTCTCTCCACAGATGCTGCCAGACCTGCTAAACTCTTCCAGCAAATTTCTGTTTTTGTTTCTGCATATCTCCAACTTTGACCTGACATGTTTCTTCATTCACTTTGGTAGACACTGTTTGAGAATTTCAGATGTAAAACTATCAAACTTTTTTTGCTAAATGAATCATTTTCAATTGTCATTGTATTTTTGAAGACTTCGCTTAGGACCCATTTTTTCTAAGATTTTTTCCACTTTCCTAAAATCCCCATTGGTTCTTTGTCTGTTTTATCTCATGACACTTCTGCAAAGTTTCTTGCAACATTTTTGACATTGAAGATTGTATTTAAAGTTGTTATTGACAGCTGTGCTTATCAAAAATCAGGCACAGAAGTCAGCATATCTTCTATGATTTTCAGTTCATTTATGTTAATAAATGGCAAATTGAAAGACGTGCAGTAAACCTCTGCAATTTTTTTAATATGCACTCATGTCACATGAAACTCTGCAGTAAGACTGCTAAATCGTAATTAATGTTAACTATTTTGCTATGATAAAACGTACATTTGTTCTGACCTACTTTTTTGTGAATGTCACTATTTGATATTTCTTGTCAAAAACCCAAAGTTTTGGTGCATGCAATATTTCATCTCTCACAAGTAACTGAAACAAAAACATTGGAATTCTCCCTTTTAAGTGGAACTTGAAATAAGCTTCTGTCTCCCAATATTGAGCAAATCTGTCATTTCAAATTGTGTACAATATCTGAAACATTCAGGTGCCAGCATTCATAGGTTCAATGCAATGAGGTTAATGAGGCAGCACAGTGGCTCAGCAGTTAGCACTGCTGCCTCATAGTGCCAGGGACTGGGGTTCGATTCCACCCTCAGGCGACTGTCTGTGTGGAGTTTGCACATTCTCCCTGTGTCTGCGTGGGTTTTGTCCAGGTGCTCCGGTTTCCTCCCACAGTCCAAAGATGTGCAGGCTAAGTGGATTGGCCAGCTAAATTGCCTGTAGTGTTCAGGGATGTGCAGATTATGTGGGGATGCTCTGATAGTTGGTGTGGACTTGTTGGGCCGAAGGGCCTGTTTCCACACTGTAGAGATTCTATGATTGAATTGCAGCTCCAGCCAAATTATCCTGCTATTGGTTTTATTGGCTATCGTACAGGCAAGCTTGTGAAAGATTTTACCTGAAACCCTGAATCAGGGGCACTGAATCAGCAATATAATAATTTTAGTGATAAAGAAATGATATTTTTTAAAAAAACAAACAAAAGTACTTACCTTTTCTATTTGATAACTTTGAATTCAGAACTTTCAGTGTGGCCTCTTCAAAAGAGTCATTCAAAACATAAATATGGGAATACCTTTGGAATTCTAAGAATGTCTGAACTCGGCGAAACCACACAAAACCGCTGGATATTCTCAATATCGTTTGATTCTGAATTCCCTGAACCGTACTTTAACAATATTTAAGCTGACTTAAGCCATATAAATCCTTTATTTCAGGGCCCTTGAAAATGTAGAAATTAGTCAGCACCAACACAAACAGGTTGGAGCTTTGTCTGGGGGAACAAAGAGAAAGCTGTCGTTGGCAATTTCATTCATTGGAGGCTCCTCTACTATCATTTTGGATGAACCCACCAGTGGCGTCGATCCTTGTTCTCGGCGTAACATCTGGGATGTTATATTAAAATATAGAACAGGTAAGGAAAACAAATAAAGTTGACAATAACAATGAACTATCTGGTTAATTGACACTTTATTGTAATCCCACCACACTGTGGCTGGTATGTTTTGGAAGAAAGAGAGCTATGTCACTCAAGCCTCTTGAAAATTCTGGCTTGTCTTGGATTTATCAGTTTTTCACAAATGTACAGGATTACCAGAAACTGCCTTCATTATTTCTTGTTTCCTTTGAAATCCCAAAGGAATAGGCCCCTCTTTGCTGAGGACTGTTATCAGTGCCCTATGAACTGAAACCCTCTTCCTTCCACAACGCCCATTGAGCTACATGTTCTGGATCCCCATTCATGCCTGGCTCACAGTCATATCCTCCTGATCCTAAGCATTGACCAAACGTGGAGTTGTACTTAAATTAAGGAATGTTACAATCTCCTGGAACAAAGTGTCCAGATAACTAACCTCCTCTCTGAGGCAATGTTTACAGCTCATGAGCTAACTCCTCTATCTAACTGTAATAATAACCAAAATGTATCTGTATCTTTTTCTCACCTTACTAGGTCGAACAATTATTTTTACTACTCATCATTTGGATGAAGCAGACATCTTGAGTGACCGTATTGCCATCCTTGAAAGTGGCCAATTGAAATGCTGTGGTTCTCCTGCCTACTTAAAGGAACGGTATGGGCAGGGTTACAGCCTCAGTATCTTGAAAAAGGTCTGTACCTTTCAAGTTGTGATAAAGAGTTTTGATAACAGTAAATGCTTTTAATGCTGCCAGTAGTGATTATTGTATGTTGAAATAAAAACAGAAAAAGCTAGAGAAACTTGACATGTCTGGCAGCATCTGTGGAGTGAGAAACAAAGTTAATGAGTTCAATAGGATTATTCTTCAGAACTAAAGTTGAGTTTAATTAAGGCAGAACATGGCCAGGGAAGTTCTGAATTCCAGACTATAAGGCTTGTGTTTTAATTCAGGTTGAGAATTTAATGAAGAAATATGATTGGGATTAAAATGATGATGGAATTTGAATGACGTCACCAGGCTTTGGTGACCCTAACGTATGCGTTTCAATAATCTGATGGCAACCTAGTAACAACACTGCTCCCGCATCAGGCTTCCCCTTAAACATCTGTTCCAAATTGGTACTAAAATATCAGGCGCTGCAGTTGCATCATGGACTAGCTGTCCAGTTAAATTGATGTATACTTTGAAGAACCTCAGTTGCAGGCACCAACTGTTTTTACTGAGATGTGTGAACAGTGAATCAAATTTCCTACTAGCAAGGAGTGACCAACAAAACTCTAAAGATGTTTTCAATGTAAGGTTAGCAACCCGATATCAGGATGAATTCTGGGTTTGGATCACACCATTTTTAAACTTAAATGGCTTAATTGGCAAGGAGTTGAGCTTGGCTCACAAATGGAGATGGTAAATGCTTCCAGAAGGTGGGAGTGTCTGCTTGTCACCATTAGCAGAGAAAGATAGCGGCCATGTTGAAGGTTGCCATTGCCTTACTAATTTGAGCAGCCAGGTCCTTGGAAGACATAAATTTTGGGCAGCTCTGTTGATGGCAGCAATCCCTTATATTTCAACTCTAAGAAACTGCAAAGAAAATGACCAGGCTCCCATGACAAATCTGGCAGCTGTGTTCTGATGCACAGTGCGTTTGTTTAAATTCACCAGGAAAAAAACGAACAAACTCAAAAGAGCAAACCTGTTAATGAACTCCTTAATGACCATAGGTGGAGCAAGTCTTTCCCCATTTCCTTCCCCTCATCAGCCTTTCAAAACTTCAAAGCTGGTCTTGAAGCGTCAGGAGTAGGATATGGGCTCTGGGACCATTTCAAATTCTGTTCACACTGGATCCTGGCCCCATAAAATACCTTTTGAAAATGCCCACCTTAATTCAGTGAATAGCTCCCTACATTAACTAAGGGCAAAGACATGTGATCTTTCGGCTCCAGCAATAGGTTTCTGTAAAACTCAATGCAAATCATTCATAATGTTTCATGAGCTTTCCTTAACAATTTCAAAGTATAAGTTAAATTTCTAACTGACGTGTTCCACGTATAGAAGGATTTTACTAGTGATCATTGAAATTAATATAGTCATATTGGCTTACAAACTGATAGTACAATGTTTGGCCAACTAACCTATGTTGCTTGTATTTTGATAGCCTACTGTAGTAGGAACTGATGAGTCATGTGATGTTGGCCTTGTAACCTCTCTGGTGAAACAGCACGTTCCCCTGGCTTTTCTGAAGCAAGATGCCTTTGGCAAGCTGACATATAGCGTTCCAACAATGGAAGATAAGACTGCTTGTGAAAGGTTGCTTCTAGATCTCGACAAAGAAATGAAAAATTTACACCTGAGCAGCTACAGTATCTCTGATACCACACTAGAGGAGGTAGGTTTCAAGATAAGTCCAATATTTTTCTTGCTTCAGATGTAAATGATCTTAGACTCTTAGATGTTTACAGCACAAAAGGAGGTTATTCAGTCCATCATGTCCATGTCGGTCAATAAATATCTAACCACAATAATCACATTTTCCAGTTTTTGGCCCATAGTCCAGGAGGCCAAGTCAAAACAAGTGAATATCTAAATACTGCTTACATGTTACAAGAGTTTCTGGCTCAACTACTGCCCTTTGAGGCAATGAGTTCCAGATCCCACCATCCTCTGCTTGAAAAGAATACTCCTTAACTCTCCTTTTAGTCATCTACCTCTTACCTGAAATCCATGACCCCTGGTTATAAACCCCTCTACTAAGGAAAAAGTGCCTTCTGATCTGGCCTATCTATGCCCCTCATAATTTTATACAGCTCTGTCAGGTCCCCTCTCAGACTGTACTCACCAAGAAAAACAACTCCAGCCAACTGAATCTTTCGTCATGGACCAACACTATCCCCCCCCACCACCCCTCCCCCAGTCCAGGCAACATCCAGGTAAATCTCTTCTGAATCCTCTCTTAGTGCAAAGACATCCTTCCTACAATGTGATGACAAAAATGTACTTATGTAATGTATGATTTGTCTGGTTAGCATGCAAAACTGTACTTTTCACTGTTCTCGGTAAATGTGACAATAATAAATCTGATCAAAGCTACATGTAGCACTCCAGCTCTGGCCTAACCAACATTTTATGGAGTTCTAACCTCCCTGCTCTTGTATTCCGTATCTAAGATAATAAAGGCAAGTATCTGATATGTCTTCTTAACTATCTTATCTATCTGCTCTGTTATCTTCAGAAATCTGTGGATTCCAACTGTACCATTCACTGTGTAATCTCCTGTCTTGTCCCCTTCTCTTGGTCTTTACATATTTTAAAAAGCTGATTTGGATTTTCCTTTTTTCTATCTACTAATGCTTTACCATGCACTTTTTTTGCTTTCCAAATCTCCTTGTTAAGACCAAGATGCCCTTCCAACCCCTAGTCCTTTTTGTACTTGCCTAGTGACTCTGCTATATTGATCTCTTGGTATCTGCCATAAGCTTCATTCTTTTTCTTAGCCCTAACCTTTTATGCCTCTTGACATTGAGGGTTCTTCAGTCTTGGGCCTACCCTTTGTCTTTACAGAAACATATTTGCTCCATACTCTGGTTACTTACTCCTTGAATACCTCTCCCTGGTCTGACAGTTTTATCTGCAAGTAGCTGCTCCCTGTCCATTTGAGCCAAATTGTATCTTATCTTAGGAAAATTAACCTTTCTCCAGCTTAAAACATGTATTCCTGATGTGTCCTTATTGTTTTTCATAACTACCCCGAATCTAACTGAGTTATGATCACTATATCGTGAATGCGCCCCTATTCAAATCCCTGGTCTCATTTCCAAATATTACATCTAGAACTGCACCCTCCCTTGTTGGATTTTCTATGTACTGACAACAAATGTTCTCCTGGATATAGTTTAAGAATTTTCTTTCTTCCTTACCTTGTACCCTGAAACTATTCTATTTAAAATTTGGGTAGTTAAAATCCCCCACTTTTACTGCCATGTTATTGTTATGCTTTTCTGAAATTTCATTGCATATTTGATCCTGTACCTCTCCTTAACTGTTTGGGTACCTTTTAGTGTACACCCAACAGCATGCTTGCTCCATTTGTTTAGTGTAATTCTACCTATATGGCCTCATTTGATATCTTTAGAGCCAGATCTTGTACTTACTTTTCAGAAGAAACAGATTGGTACTTTTCACAAGTTCTCTGCTCATGCCACTCTTTCCAGAACTGGACCTCCCTCTCAGATATTTGTTTGTCTTTCAGGTAGTCAATACAATTTTACACAACAATGTGGATGAATGCAGGAACTAAGCAATGTATCAGATTCTCTACTTCATTGTGTTCATGTAATGCTGTATCACCAACCGAATGCGAGATGAATAATTTCACATTAAGCAATTGTTTTTGTTACATGTAAATTTGATAAATGCATGCCCAAAGTTGTGTAGATTTTGTGGAAAGTTTATTAAGCAATATTAAATTAATGTGATTGAGACTTAGATCAATTTTCATGTTCTCTCTTTTTTTCTCTATTTACTGTTTTATCAGGTGTTTCTGAAGTTGCTTCAGAGTGAGCAAAGCCCAGCGCCACATGGAAGCCAGGATACAGAGTCTCTGAATTCTGAGAGCATCGAATCAACTCACAGTGACAGTGAGTATCTAAATCAAACTGGTATTATACAGGAGTACTATTTTTCATAGTTCTTATATACTTTTAAATGTTTAGTATCATTGTTTTGAAATATCACTATGCTTCAAGAGGGTAAGTGGGTTCATTTTCAACTGCCTCTTTCAATTTGAAGTCTGGGCAGACCGAGTGAGAGCCTGGGCATTGAAAGGTTTGAAGCATTTTCACAGATGGGTTTCATCAGCATTCCATGAAAGGTACTCTCATCTTAATGCTGCTCCTGACCTTACAAAAGCAACTCAAAAATATTTTCCTTAAATGTTTAGAATGGCCTTAAGTGTGTACAGCGCACACTTCATGTAATAGTATGTCAAAATTACAATGTGGTGTAGGACTGCAAATAGGAACTGTCGCTGCCTGTTTCCAGTTAGTGGAAACACATAGGGTAACTCTTGAAATGATCCTACTTAGGTATTATAATTTTTTTTTGTCACACCACAGTCATATTCCCACTCAACAGGACAATGTAAAATGGACTCTCATGTTTGGAGGTCCAGTCACAGTCAGTAGGCCTTCTAGCAACTGGCTTTGAGCAGCATTAATGCAGATACAGATCAACTATTTTTTCAATCAGAGCTAAGTATGTAGCGTATGAAAATGACAATACATTAAAATAACAAGTCCAATGGTGATCTTATAAGAGGTTTACTGCAGATACAAATTCCAACACTGTTTTTGTGCATGTTACACGATCACTACTATTGATAGGTTGGATAAACCAGTCTAGTTCTCTTTTTCCAGTGCTGGTTCTGAGACCACCTTCTTCCATTTATTATTTTTAATATGGTTAAGTTTTAATTGGACTCATTCCTGGGATGAAAGGGTCTCATGAAGAAAGTTGAGCAGCTTGGGCCTGTATCCATTGGAGTCCTGATGAATGAGAGATGATCTTTTTGGAACATAGTAGATTCTGAGCGGACTGGATAGGATGGATACCCAGAGGATTCTTTTTCTTATGGGGGAGACTTAAACCACAGGATATGGGTTCAGTATATGAGGTCTGCCTTTTATGATATAAATGAGGAGAATTATTTTCTCTTCAAGTGTCATTAGGGTATGGAATTCTCTTCACTCCCCAAAGGTATTAGAGGGTGGGTCTTTAAATTAACTCCAGGTAGAGTTCTATGGATTTTTAGACAAGGGGTGGTTGAGAGTTACGGTGGGCAGACAGGAAAGTGGAGCTGAGACCTGAACCCAAGCAGCCATGATCATTTTGAGTTGTGGAACAGGCTAAAAGGGGCAAATTGCCCACTTCAGCCCCCAAGTCGTGGATCTTGGGTCTATGCCTGAATTGGCACAGTAGGTAGTACATTCTGTAGACTTGTAATGCTCCATGTTAAAAATCATTCTCCTATTCTGTTCTAAATGTTTTGCATTTAATTTAATGACTACTTCCACTAAATTCTGCGCCCTTCAGAACTAGAGATACCATCATATTTCAAATTCTCTTTACTTTCCCCTTTACTGCTTCTGCCTGAAATTCAGTGTCCCTTATTTTAAGAAGATCTTCTGCATGTGAGAGGTGCTACTGAAATGCAGGGTGCTGTTAAGTATTTAGCTAGATGGATGAATGAGAGTAGGTTGGGCAATGTGTTAGAGAAAATCTGTCCACACTGCAGGAATGAAAAGTTCGTCTATCCTTTGCTCCGCTGTCTGGTACTCATGGTTCAATTGCTCAAATCTATCTCTAACCGAGCATGAATTGGTATTATTCTGACAATTTCGCTGAAGTTGAAATTGCAGTTAAGGCTTATGAATCAGAATAGCCTGCAGCTACTGTTCTAGATGGGTAGAGAATGGTTGGTATTAAAAATGGTAAAATCTCACACAGAACCCACAGGAATTTTCAAGTCATATCTTGTATTATTTCTCTGAGATTCTGTTGCCTTATCTTTACATAATCTTTATCTTAATCTTTACAAGTCATGTGACAACTAATGAACAAAGTCAGGGATAGGGACTGCTGACATTTTTCTTCTATGGCTGTACTGGGAAACCCCTATATCAGTGGAGGTTGGCTTGCCATGTGAAGCAATTTTGAAATTAAAAATCATCTGTCAACCTCCCTGCTCATGTGTGAGTAGACCATTGGTGGGCACCAGTGGAGGATGCTGATCAATGATTGGAACCATAGCAAAGTGTCCTAAAGGAAAGAAAGGAATGAGAATTACTCTCAGTTGTCTAAACGTTCTGATGTATTTTTGGCATGGAAGTCAAGGGAAGCCTGTTGTCACTAAATATTCAGCACTTCCTGCTTTTGTGGTAAAGTTGTGATAGAGAAGGCGTGAAGCCTTCTTTCTCCCTATCCTCAGTGTTATTGTCACATTGGCTAAACTAATCTCCTCGTACACATGACACTCTCCAATCCACCCAGGGAAACAATCACTTAAGAAGTACATTAAGGCAGCAATGCAGGAAGACATCGTGAGGAACTTATTGAAAGAGCTTAAAAACCTGGAGGATGTTTGTAAGAGAAAATTGTGTAAGGAAAGAAGAGTCATATTAAAGTCAAATGTCAATTCTGTTTTTCTTCTCGTATGTGTCAGAGCTGTTGAGTTTTTATAGCATCTTTGTTTTCATTTCATATTTCCAAAATCCACAGTATTTTGCATACAATTTATTGTTTAGTACAATTTCCTGATGAAATTAATAGCATTCTTTAAATTGGAACTTAATTTCTTTAAAATATATTTTGTCCACCCACCCGGTGGCTTGAAAAATCAAGGGATACAATGCAATGTAATGATTGAGAAAATAAAAAGCATAAAAATAAAACTGCATTGAACTTGTTTGTGTTGATTAAAATGTTTTTATTCTTACACAAGGTGCGGCCCTTGCTGGACTCCAGCGAGAAACTGGATGGCGACTCATCCTTAAACAGATGGCAGCTCTGATGATTAAACGCTTTCACCATTCAAGAAGGGATTGGAAGGGGGCCATTGCCAACATTCTGCTTCCTGTTCTCTTTGTCATTCTAGCAATGGCTCTGTTCAGTGTCAAACCTTTAACTGCTGAATACCCCAACCTCAAGTTATCTCCAGACATATATCAGGATTCAGATGTCACATTCTTCAGGTGAGATGTCCTGATCATGGCCCTCAACATAGGGAATGGTGGAATAAGTGAACGAAATGATCAATTGCACTCTTGATAAATCGGAAATCCACCTACCTTTTATGTTAATTTCAGTTTCTCTGCCAATAACCATATATGAGTAAAGTTTTCCAGTTAGGAGAGGTCAGCTTTGAAACTGTTCTATCAGAATATAATACCTCTGATTAACCTTTATTTAGAAATTTCAATCATGGGATGTGGGAGCCGCTTGCTAAGCCAGTATTTGTTGTCCAGCCCACATTGCCTTCTTGAACTGCTACAGTCCTAGGGTGCAGGTATACTCACAGTACTATCAGGAAGAAATTTTGAGCCAGTGACAGTGAAGGAACATCAATTCAGTTTCAAGTCAGATGGTATGTGGCTTGGAGAGAAACTTACAGATGATGTTGCAACGCATCTGCTGCCCTGGCTTTCAAGGTGTTAGTGGTTGTGGGATTGGACGGTGCTGTTGAAGGAACCTTAACAAGTTACTGCGATGCATACTGCAGGTGGTACACACTGCTGTCACTGATGTGGTGAATGGTGTACATGGTGGATGGGATGCTAATCAAGGTTGATTTGTACTGTATAGTATTGAGCTTCTTATGTATTAATGACACTGCGTCCATTTGGGCAAACTGGGAGTGTTCCATCCCACTTCTGACTTGTGCCTTATCTGTGGGGGACAAGCTTTGAGGAGATAGGAGGTAAGTTACTCATCACAGAACTCCTAGCCTGTGACCTGTTCGTGTAGTCACTGTAATTATATAGTTGGTCAAGTTCAGTTTCTATTCAATGGTGACCTCCCCCACAGGATGTTGATAATGGGGGATTTAATGATGGTAATACCATTGAATGTCAAGGGGTGTTGATTATATTCTCTTGTTTGAATAGACATTGCCTGGCAAATGCATGGTGTGAATGTTACTTGCTACTTGCCAGCTCAAACCTGAATGTTGTCAGGTCTTGCGACATGTGGACAAGGACTGATTCAATATCTGAGGAGTCATGAATAGTACTGAACATGATGTAATCATCAGCCAACGTGCCCTTTTTTCTTCTATTCATTTGTGGGATGTGGGTGTCGCTGGCTGGCCAGCATTTCTTGCCCATCCCTGGTTGCCCTTGAGAAGGTGGTGGTGAGCTGCCTTCTTGAACTGCTGCATTCCTCCTGCTGTGGGTTGACCCACAATTCTTTTAGTGAAGAATTTCTGACCTCATGATGCAAGGAACGTCATTGATGAAGTATCTGAAAATGGTTAGAGCCAGAACATTAAGCTGAGGAACTTCTGCAAAAATGTTTTGGAGCTGAGATCTCTGATCTTCAATGACCACAGCCTTTGGGTTTGATATGACTCCAAATGGACTGTTTTCCCTTAATTCCAATTGATTCCAGTTTTGCAAGGAAAATGCTACTTTGATGTCAGGGGCTTTCACACATATCTCACCTCTGAAGTTCTTGTTCCTATATTTGGACCAAGGCTGTAAAAAGTTTGGGAGCTGAATATTCCTAGCAGAAAACAAACTAAACATCAGAAAACAAGGTATTACTGAGTTAGTACCACTTGATAATACTGTTGGTGAACCCTTCTATCGCTTTGGTGATGATTGAGAGTAGGCTGATGGGGTGGTAATTGGTTGGATGAATTCATCTTCCTTTTGGTGCACAGAACATGTCCGGACATTTTTCTACCTTCTGGGTAGATGCCAATTTAGTTGATGTTCTGGAATAGCTTGGCTAGGGGCATGGCTAGTTTTTCAACATAAACCTTCAGTATTATTTCTGTCCGGATCCATGGCCTTTGCAATGTCCAGTGCCCCCAGCCATTTCTTGATATAATGTGCAGCAAACCAAATTGGCTGAAGACTCACATCTGAGATGCTGAGGACCTCAAGAGGTGAACAAGATGGATCATCCACACACTTTTGGCTGAAGATATAGAAGATAATAAATAAGACATTTTATTGTAATTTATTGCATTTAGATTGCTGAAGCTCTCTCTGGATTGACAGTGGTATTGATTTAATTTATCTACATTTAATTTTGAAAGTGGTAGGATGTATAGAAATAGGAACTAATAAAACACATGAAATCTTGAGCTTAACAATAGAGGCAAATAATATAAGAGAAGGGAAATTATGCTGAGATTATACAGAGGTCTGGTTCGATGGCAAATAAAGTATTGAGTCTAGTTGGGGTCTTTCTGCCCCATGGTAAGGAATGGTCTCAGTGGCTCCCTGTTTCTTCCTGAGGCCTGACATGCTGAGGGAAGCCTACCTAGCTCTTTCACTGTGGCATCCTGAGGCATTGGTGTCACGAGCAAAGGGTCTGAGGTCATTTCCTTCAGTGTTATGCTCACAATGCTGAACTGAACCCCTCAGGAAGTTGGGAGCAGAGCCCATCTTCACTTGGCTGGTCACTGTGAAGCCATTCTGCAGCCTTCCAACCTATAATTCAATTCAAACATTCCCTCTGATAGGAAGTCCTGCCTGAAATGGCTGCTGGCCAAATAAATGCCACTTTATTGTTGAAGCTGAGCTACTAGGAGAGGTAGCCATAACTGTGTGACTAGAATGAAGCCTCAAGGAACAGATACCATGGACCCAGATGGCAAGTTAATTCTGGGGTTTTGCTGGGGCTAGGCTGACAGACCTGAGGACGTAGGTTCAGATTACCAGGGTTGGAAAGGGATGGATGGGGAAATTTTGGATGGGGAATTACTTTGGGTAGGCTCTGATGCACACCAGGGCCTGAAAAGGAAGCACATTTAATAGTAAGGTCCTGGGGAGTGTTACCGAGCAAAGAGACCTTGAGGTCTAGGTTTCTTGTTCCTTAAAAGTGGTTCTCTTGCCTTTATTGGTCAGTGTATTGAGAATAAGAGTTGGGATGTCATGTTGTCACTGTACAGGACATTGGTTAGGCCATTTTTGGAATACTGTGTTCAATTCTGGTCTCCCTGCTATAGGAAAGATGTTGTGAAACTTGAAAGCGTTCAGAAAAGATTTACAAGAAAGTTGGGTTGAAAGGTTTGAGCTATAGGGACAGGTGAAATACATTGAGGCTATTTTCTTTGGAGCGTCAGAGGCTGAGGGGTGACCTTATAGAGGTCTACAAAATCATGACAGACATAGATAGGGTGAATAGCCAAGGTCTTTTCCTCAGGGTAGAGGAGTTCAGAACTAGAGGACAAAGGTTTAAGGTGAGAGGGGAAAGATTTAAAAGGGTCCTAAGGGGCAACTTTTTCACACAGAGGGTGGTGCCTATATGCAACGAGCTGCCAGAGGTAGTGGTGGAGGCTGGTACAATTATAACATTTAAAAGGCATCTGGATGGGTATATGAATAGGAAGGATTTAGAGGGATATGGGCCAAATGCTGGCAAATGGGACTAGATTAATTTAGGATATCTGGTCGGTATGGATAAGTTGGACTGAAGTGTCTGTTTCTGTGCTGTACATCTCTATGACCATTTGACCATATGACTCTATGACACATGTGCTCCTTTTTGCTTGGCTACCAGTCTGGCAGATTTCCTTCCCTAAAGGACATTAGTGAACCGGATACGTTTTTATAACAATCTCAGAGTTGTCACAATCGCCTTCAGATATTTTTTTCTAAAATTTATTCAGAGATATTATTACACCCCTCTGGAGCAAGTAGAACTTGCCCCTTGGTTCAGGGGTAGGGACACTACCACTGTACCACAAGAGCCCTCTCAATTATATTCACTATAACTAGCTCTATATTCCAAAAGTATTAATTGAATTTAATGTACCAGCTAACATGGTGGGATTCGAGCTCACATCTCCAGAACATTAATGTGGAGCTCATCCAGTGATGTTACTACTACACCACCATCTTCCCTCTTATGTTGACAGCCATACTCCCAAAACTGAGTCAGAAGCTGAAGGGTCCAGCTGAATGGAGATTCAGCCTCCCACTTAGAATTCCATTGGAAAGGCAGGAATCCAGTAGGTATGCATGCTCATCATCTCCTGACCTGCCTTCATCCCATCTCCTTCTTTGGCCCCCTCCCCAGCACCCCCTATTAATGGAAGCCCTTCCACTGCAAAGGACCAAATAATTAATGGCTGGTAGAAAGTTAGTAGCAACGTAAGGAGTCCTCATGTAGGACCTGTCAAGCTGTTAATCAGCCTATGAATCTTCTAATCCATTTTATTCTCCAAGGAAAGAATATGAAGATATGAAAACACAAGCCAAAAGGTGCATTGGCAGCCAGAAATAATCGTTGCAATGACCTGAAGCATAATTTCAGTTTCAAGCTCCACCTTCTGGTCTGATTTGTACTAGCAAACCTGCACAAAGGCTTTAATTGTGTCATGAGTGTAATTTTGGTCCTGAACTGATCAATATCAAGCTAGATTTGTGAACATTTTATAATTTCTACATCAAAACCATCACTTAAATTCAATTGATCTAATTTATAAGTTTATTTTTACATAATGGCTGTTTAAGGACTATTAATATATTTAATGGCTGTTTATTTGAACGTAATTATTCCTCCAAGTGAATGCTATCATTCAACGTACATTCTAAGTGAATCATCTGGATTATTATTTCATCCATAAATGTACTTAAGCTTATTTGTCTTAATTTGTCTTAATACCAGAGATAACAAAGTGTAGAGCTGGATGAACACAGCAGGCCAAGCAGCATCATAGGAGCAGGAAGGCTGACGTTTCGGGCCTAGACCCTTCATCAGAAATGGGGGAGGGGAAGGGGGTTCTGAAATAAATAGGGAGAGAGGGGGAGGCGGATAGAAGATGGATAGAGGAGAAGATAGGTGGAGAGGAGACAGACAGGTCAAAGAGGCGGGGATGGAGCCAGTAAAGGTGAGTGTAGGTGGGGAGGTAGGGAGGGGATAGGTCAGTCCAGGGAGGACGGACAGGTCAAGGGGGCGGGATGATGTTAGTAGGTAGGAGATAGGGGTGGGGCTTGAGGTGGGAGGAAGGACAGGTTAGGGAGGCGGGGACGAGCTGGGCTGGTTTTGGGATGCGGTAGGGGGAGGGGAGATTTTGAAGCTTGTGAAATCCACATTCAAATCCACTATCTCTGTTATTGTCTTATTACCATGTTGTTTATCATGTTTCCTCATAGAGAGCTTCATTTAATTACTTATATTGTCCTGATAGTATTATTCTATGAAGTATTATATTAAGTATCAACTAGAATACTGGTCTGTTTTTGCTCATTGATGATTAGAATTATTACTTTCAAGAGGCAGCAGTTTCTATGAACATTTTGCTAACTGATGCTAATTTTCTTGAACTAAGTGATGTAATTTTGCTTTATTAATGCTACCTTTGGGAAGTGATGTCACATCTCCATTTCTAACAGTTCTACAATTACAAACACTCAGGAAAATTAGCAGAGAGCGGATAAGCAAAAAGTTGCATACAAAACAAACACATAGACACACATGCACGCAAACACTAAAAGCAATGACAGATGGACACATTTAACTAAAAAAGGAAACACAGATGATTAGAGCTCCCGTGGTTAACAATGAGAAAATTCCTGCTCGTGACCACTAACTGCTAATCTTGCCATAAATTGCCTGAGTTGTACATCAAGTTATAACGGGGGTGGATGTGTCCGAAAAGCCTCCAAAGACTGGCTTTTGGAGATGCCTCCATCTGCCCCTTTGGGTAGAATTGATGATAGGTCACAGTCTGAAACTTTATTTCTCTCTCCATGAAGGCTGCCAGCCTTGCTGAGTATCGACAGTGGTTTCTGCTTTTTATTTGCTGGAGAGTGTTGCTGTAGCTTTGCAGAAATGTCAGAGGAGGAAGGTATCACACAAAGCATGGGATTGTCTGGGCCTGAGGCAGTGGGCGTGGAGGCAGGAAGTGAACCTGTTTCTGTGAGATATTGAAGGACCAGAACCCTGCCACCTTCTGGCTATTAAACTGGTCCACTCAGGGAGCCCTGGCTGACAGATAAGAGCAGCAGTGTCAGATATAAGGGCAGGTAGTGGTAATGTCATTAGGCTAGTAATACAGAACACCAAGCCAATGTTCTGGGGACAAGTACTAGACAGTGGTAAACAGTAAAAGTTAAAATTAAAATAAAATTGAAGAAATTCCAGAGACTGGAGTTAAAGGAATGCAGTGGTAGGTAGAATCCCTATCAGGATTGATATAGTTTAAGGGGTGGCACAATGGCTAGTAGTTAGCACTGCTGCTAAATTGCCCACAGTGTCCAGGGATGTGCAGGCTAGGCAAATTATCCATGGGAAATGCAGAGTTATAGGGTAGGGGGTGGGTGTGAGTGGGATGCTCTTCAGAGGTTCAGTGTGGACTCGATTAGCTGATTGGCCTGCTTCTACACTGTAGGGATTCTTTTCTGTGACACTGTTCACTCTGAGAGCTGGCTCTGAGGGAGCTGGATCAGTGTCAGAGGCTCTCTACGTGTAAATACTGGCCTCTGTCGAGTTATTTGAACCTTAAATTAGGGTCCTTCATTGAGCAATTAATGATAACTTAAGGGCTTCAATCCAACAGGGCTGCACTTATCTCGTTGGGATGTAAAAGGTTACCCTCGTGGGCAGGTTGTCAGTATGAGGTTCGGGAGGCGTCCCTTCAATCTGCAATAAGATGGAAGCAATCAAGGGACTGGACATGGGTCAGCGAGGAAGATGCAATGATATAACCCCATGCCCTGGCCTTGCTTCTGACCACATGGCTCACCTCTGCCCACCACTTCCACCTTGTGAGACTCTCCTAAACAAAACACGATTCCAGTGGATGATCCTTTGTCCAGGAAGTCCATGAGTATTATTCTGGTGACAATCATGGCCAACATTATGGATCTGCTGATTTCCGGGAATGCCACTCACTGATTGGCTGACAGCTCTTGGTGGCCCTTACTTCTTGGCCTGGTATCCTGATTCCAGCAGAAAGCCCATTTCCAGCCAATTAACTGTGTGATTTCTGGAAGATCCAGTGGCCTTTCACATCTTTGTAGACTGTGAGTTTCTCTCCTGTTTTCAGATTTACTCTGTAACAGAAAGATTCTGCCCTAAATCTGCAACTGGTATGGGAGCAGCCTTTGCGGTACCACAGAGAGATGGAAGAGCAACTGAGGCAGTGGGGCTCTGCAAAGTTGGAGCCACACTCTTCCAAATTCCTTAACAAAGACAGGAGGCTGGTTAGCACGACAGCCAGTGCACGCAGCATTTTAGTGTGCATGTCCATCAGTCTTTCATGTCCTATCCTGTGTGTTTCCCATCAAAGTCCTCATCTGAATCCTCGGTACCAGAACTCCTCTGCTACCTCTGGCAATCAAATCATTCTTTACAACTGGCCATGCTACAGCCTATCTAGGCCTGTAATGACTCACCACTTGCTTACCTTAACTCTATTCTATCCTCTGAACTATAGAACATAGAACATAGAACAGTACTGCACAGTACAGGCCCTTTGGCCCACGATGTTGTGCTGACCTATTATCCTACTAAGATCAAACTACCCTGCATACCCTATATTTTAATAGAACATAGACCAGTACATGTTTAGTGGCGCTTTCTGGGCTGCTGTCTGTAAGTGTTACTTAAAGTGCTAGTGCCTTTAAGTCAACCATCTTCCCTCTTTAATCTGCTGGCTGGAGAGGCAATAGTGCTTGGGTATCAGAAAGCAGGACCCCAGAACGTAAAGGATGGTTACAGGTGGAGTGAAGTGGATTGGGATCTTAAGATCCATAGTTACACCTTCAGTAAGTTCATGCAAAATAGCAGGTTGAGCTGAGAGCTATCAAGACACAAATCATGAATATGTTGTTAGCCTTAATGGTCTTGGTGCCTTGGATGGCTCAGGCTCTATGGTTTTTGACTCTGATGCTGACAGGAATCTTATCAATAGGGCTCAGGAGATGGATGTGTCCTTTTCTCCACTGAATTCTGCTATACACCCTTCTATTATGTATTATTGTTTCCTTTCAAAAAAAGGACAAATTGTTAATGATTATATCACACTGTGGTGATGTTTCTGCCATAGCTGAATAGTTAAAGGAGTTGGAGAGAGATTGATCAATGGTTTGTGAGTGGGCAGATGAGACCAAGTGTTAAGCATGATTCTTGAGTGTCAGGGAGTATATTGGGCAAGTGATGGGTATGGGATACATTCTCCAGCAGAAGAGATTCGTGGTGTGATCAGTAAGAGATACCATGTTAAGATAACCTGAACCACCCAAACAAGGTCATTTAGCCTCCTTTGAACAGGTATTGGAACCCAGGGTCCAAAAAACAGGTATTGATGTACATGGCTACCTCCTCCCTAACCATTCTGACAGTTGAATCCTGAAGGATTTTCTGACACTCCTCCCCGAGAAACTATGTAACCCCCTGCCCAGCTCCATCACTACTGCCTCCAATGCCCCAACCCTGAATCCCTGAACCCTCACACTGCCTTAGTGTTTAATTCTCTATCATTTTAAGTTACACCGTTCTTCAGTGCGGCCTCACTTTAAATGTAACAGCCTGCCTTTAAGAAGAGCGAGCCTGTTATACTGCATGGTATCTGCCTGACAACATTGTTCTTCAACCTGCTGAAAACTGGTTCAACTAGCAAGTTGGAGAAGAAGGAAGCAGCAAGAGACCCACTTGGCCACTCACTGTATCATACAGATGCACCAAACCTCAGTGCTGTCCTCTTGGTTTAGAATAGGCAGAGGAAGCTCACAAATTGCAATTTGTTTCTTTAATGTGGGATGTAAGCGTGGCTGGTAAGAAAGCATTTCTTGCCAAATCCTAGTTGCTGTTGAGTTGATTGGCTCTCTAAAGGGCAGCTAAGAATCACCCACATTGCTATTGGTCTAAAGTTACATGTGAGCTAGGCCTCTAGTAACGACTGCAGATTTCCTTCCCTCTAAGACTTTCATAAACCAAATGGGCTTTTTACAACAATTGACAATGGTTACATAGTTGCTGTTACACAATACTTAAAATTCCAGGTTTTTATTACATTTTAATTTAAGTAAGTACTTTTACGTGGAATTCAAACTCGTATCCCCAGATTATTAGCATGGAGCTTTGGATTACCTGTCCTGTGACATTATTATTATCTCACTGACTCCCATCCAAAACGTAGGGCATGTGTGTCTAGCCCAATATGCCTCAGTCAAGTTTCTCAATCTGTTTGAAGAGACCCATTGTCACATGTCCAATTAACACAGGTACCAGAATTTATGTTGCTCTGCAAAGGTTCACCAGAAACAAATATGAGCTGGTCTGAGCATAACGAACAGTGAGCACTGTTCTTTTGTCATTGACTACAAAATCCAGGCCATCATAACTATCCAAATACTTTAATTCCAATTATTTAGTTAATGTTACAGCCAATGTTTTCAATGTATTAATTTTTGCCAGTGATGAGGCATCAGTAGTAGCCATTATGATAATAACAGTTATTATGTTATCTTAGTTTTCTGATTTAACAATGAAATGCACCTTCTCTTTTTGGAGTAATTTTATACAAATCAGTATGGCAGAATGCAGGCTGGTTCTTTCTTCCTAGAATTGTCTGATTAGGTTGCAGTTTGTTATTCCACTTTCATACTTTTCCTGTGGCTAACTCTGATTTTTTACTCTGTACAGTTCTGGTAACAATGATTTTATAAACTTGACCTCCATGTTGCTGAAGTTTTTGAAAATAAATGAATCCTGTGTTGGCCAAGCCTCCAATCTGTAAGTAAATGATATGCCTTTCATTCTTCTCATTAATGCTATGCTCATTAAGGATATTAGTGCTGGGGAATGGAGTGACTTTCATTCGGGGCAACAAAACATAAAAGGCGTAGTTTAAATCACCCGAAATGAGTGAATTTGGATTGGGTGGAATGAGAAAACTTTAACAATCACAAACTATCAAGCTGCAAAAACAAGTGATCCATCCTTTGTGCTTTGATTAACACAGTCCAAAGCCATACAGACTGGTTAACTCAATCAGGATGTGTTACTACTTGACCAAAGTCCAGATTGTAGAATACCCAAAGTTGCTTCTGGGTTGTCATTGTTGCACATGATTGTAGCAGAATCACAGATTACTAATACTTCAGTCAAACCTCAGAGAGGCACCATGAACACAACATATCAATAAATGTATCAGAGATAGTTGGAACTGCAGATGCTGGAGAATCTGAGATAACAAGGTGTAGAGCTGGATGAACACAGCAGGCCAAGCAGCATCATAGGATCAGGAAGGCTGACGTTTCAGGCCTAGACCCTTCATCAGAAACGGAGGGGGTAGGGGGTTCTGAAATAAATAGGGAGAGAGGGGGAGGCGGATAGAAGATGGATAGAGGAGAAGATAGGTGGAGAGGAGACAGACTGGTCAAAGAGGTGGGGATGGAGCCAGTAAAGGTGAGTGTAGGTGGGGAGTTAGGGAGGAGATAGGTCAGTCCAGAGAGGATGGATAGGTCAAGGGGGCGAGATGAGGTTAGTAGGTAGGAGATGGGGGTGGGTCTTGAGGTGGGAAGAGGGGATAGGTGGCCATGGGTACCCGCATGGGCCCAAGTTATGCCTGCCTCTTTGTAGGTTACGTGGAACAATCCCTCTTCCTTACCTACACTGGGCCTAAACCCCACCTCTTCCTCCGTTACATGGATGACTGTATTGGCGCCGCCTCGTGCTCCCATGAGGAGCTTGAACAGTTCATCCACTTCACCAACACCTTCCACCCCAACCTTAAATTCACCTGGACCATCTCTAATACCTCTCTCACCTTTCTGAACCTCTGTCTCCATCTCAGGCAACCACCTAGAAACCGATATCCATTTCAAGACCACCGACTCCCACAGCTACCTAGAATACACCTCCTTCCACCCACCTTCCTGCAAAAATGCCATCCCCTATTCCCAATTCCTTTGCCTCCGCCATGTCTGTTCCCAGGATGAGGCATTCCACTCCCGTACATCTCATGTCCTCGTTTTTCAAGGACCGCAAATCCCCCCCTCAGTGGTCGAGACGGTGTCTCCCACATTTCCCGCAACTCATCCCTCACACCCAGTCCCCGCAATAACAACCAAAAAAGAATCCCCCTCATCCTCACGTACCACCCCACCAACCTCCGGATCCAACGCATCATCCTCCGACACTTCCACCATCTGCAATCCGACCCCACCACCAAAGACATTTTTCCCTCCCCACCCTTATCTGCTTTCTGGAGGGACCACTCTCTCCGTGACTCCCTTGTCCGCTCCACACTCCCCTCCAGCCCCACCACACCCGGCACTTTTCCCTGCAACCGCAGGAAGTGCTACACCTGCCCCCACATCTCCTCCCTCACCCCCATCCCAGGCCCCAAGAAGACTTTCCACATCAAGCAGATGTTCACCTGCACATCTGCTAATGTGGTATACTGCATCCGCTGTTCCTGATGTGGCTTCCTCTACATCGGGAAAACCAAGTGGAGGCTTGGGGACCGCTTTGCAGAACACCTACGCTCGGTTCGCAATAAACAACTGCACCTCCCAGTTGCGAACCATTTCAACTCCCCCTCCCATTCCTCAGACGACATGTCCATCCTGGGCCTCCTGCAGTGCCACAATGATGCCACCCGAAGGTTGCAGGAACAGCAACTCATATTCCGCTTGGGAACCCTGCAGCCCAATGGTATCAATGTGGATTTCACAAGTTTCAAAATCTCCCCTCCCCCTACCGCATCCCAAAACCAGCCCAACTTGTCCCCGCCTCCCTAACTGTTCTTCCTCCCACCTCAAGCCACACCCCCATCTCCTCCCTACTAACCTCATCCCGCCCCCTTGACCTGTCCGTCCTCCCTGGACTGACCTATCTCCTCCCTACCTCCCCACCTACACTTACCTTTACTGGCTCCATCCCCGCCTCTTTGACCTGTCTGTCTCCTCTCCACCTATCTTCTCCTCTATCCATCTTCTATCCGCCTCCCCCTCTCTCCCTATTTATTTCAGAACCCCCTTCCCCTCTCCCATTTCTGAAGAAGGGTCTAGACCCGAAACGTCAGCCTTCCTGCTCCTCTGATAATGCTTGGCCTGCTGTGTTCATCCAGCTCTACACCTTGTTATATCAATAAATGTTTTTGGACTTCTTTTCTTGACTGTGGAATTCTCAGTTTAATATCTCACCTGAAATGCAGTACTTCCAATTTTGTAACACTCCTTGACTACAACACTAAAGTATCATTTTCAATTGTATGATCAAATCGTTAGAATGAAGCTTTAACCCATTAGCCTCTGAGTTTGAGATGTGACTGCTCCTGTTGAGCTGAGATCCAAACAAAAGACGTGGAGAATCAGAACTGTTAGATATCAGTCCTTGCTAATGACCTATTGTTGGATACACGATTTAATAAGTAAATTATGCAGACAAATCACAAAATTGATTTATATACTGCAAATCACTATTTTCACTGGGAAAATGTTATACTTTTTCTTAGGGACAGTTCTTCATGTGGGTGGAATGGAAATTCAGAACCACAGAATTTTATGGGGCACTGTAATTGTGATAATGGCAATCAGGTAAGAATCATGGGCTGTGACATCTCCATTGTTTCTCGGCCCACTGGTCATGTTATGCAACCATTTTAAATTATTGAATTTTGATAAGTTTATGTATTTGTATATATTGGCACGGATTAAAGGATCAAGACACCTGCACCCTATTCATTTTCGTGCTCTTTCCAAATGTTTCTGGAAATCATTTGAACAGCTAAATCTTTCACTTCGTATTCTCTGACTCAAAGGATGGTGAGTGGCAGTCCATCTGTTGTTTTTAAGATTTAGCCTTGGTAATTTGAAGTCAAGAACCATCCCTCCACACAAAGACAGCCGCAAACAACAGAAGCTATAAGTGGATTACTATTTTTGATAACGTGAATTTTCTGACTGTGTCACAGCTTCAAAGGGAAATGCTCTCTTTTTTATGAAACAATGACCTGTCTTTCTCTGTTTGGATTCAATAAAATGCTACCACAACACAAGGCACCCGCATGTATAAAAGAACAGCATCAGTAACCTGAGGATCAGTTATTTGCTTCCTTTAAAAGATAGAGCTGTTTTTATTTAGTTTAGGGAACTGTCAAAATTACAGGTTTCAAATAAAACTTCAGTCACAATCAATGGTTACCTACCTGGAATTAAGTATTCAGAATCACTTAAAATGCAATGCACAGTGTTAAGTAACTGATATTGTATAAAACCCCATTGCCCCAAAGTATAGTCCTGAATTACTGAGGAAATGTTAGACACTGTACAAATGTAACACCAAGTCAGGCTGATAAAATCTAAAATAGCTGTGAAATTTGAGAGGAAAAAAATCGTAAATTGAATATGATCCCTTTCTAAATTCCGGAACCTAAGCAGTTAATTTACAGGAACTAACCAGATTTGTGTATGTATGCTTACATTTTGCTCTGTCCCCCACACCTGCTTGTTACTGGTGGAGGAAATAAGCTGGGAATGGAAAATAAGAGTTAACTTATTCACAAAACAATCAACAGAAGATAACCAGTATTGACTTACCATATGGAAAAGGAGGATTTAAATAAAGACTTCTCTGGGATACAGGCCATGGCGTTTGCATCCTGTGCAAACCCTTCTCCCAGGCCCTGTTCCCATGAGCTGTATTACTTGTTACAGTGCTAATCTGTGGAGATGTTTTGAACATTTCAGACTTGAAATGTTATCACGTCCATTATGAAAACCAATGGAATGCAAAAGAAACAAAATAAATTCAAAAGATTATACGTAACAGATTGGGAAATGAAGGAAATTAATGGCAGGCTTGCAGACTGACAAGGAGGTCTTGTGATGCAGTGGTAGCATCTTTACCTTTGGGTCTTTAGTTTCTAGTTCAGTTCCACCTCAGGACTTAATGGCCATGGAAGGTGTGTTATATCAAAGCTAAACAGGTTGATTATCAATCTGTCAATCCTTTGCTTTACCTATGACAGGCAATAGGAGATTTCTTTAGTCAACTGGAACCTTTTGGTAACTGCGGTGTAAACCCATATTATATTATAAATGTACTTGTGTATATTCTTGTCATGTGCAAGTGTGAACCTTGTTCCAAGGGTCTCCTGTATATTGGTAAACCAAATCCACCAACAGAAATTTATATAGTGCTTTTAACAGAATTAAGTACAGTAACCTAAAGTGGTTCACGAGAGTATTAAATATTAATATATGAAACCCAAGCCACAAGTTATAGATGTTCAGACTTTTGCAGTAATAATGACAATGAAACCATCAGAAATCAAAATCTTTACTCCTTTGAAATGGACAACAGCTTCTGGATTACATGCTCAGAATAACTTGAAAGTCTAGAAGTTGCTGTCAATAGCTTTATGCTTCTCCAGAGGATGCACAACCCAGGCAGCCCCCAGAGTGCAACTATTAGAAGTCAATCACTGATATGCTGTTAGTCTCACTGCAAAAACCTTTGAGAAAGATCTTGCTGAATGAAGAGTAACTAGATTTTTAACAGCATACCAATCTGATAATTAATTTTAAAACAGATATGTAAATGAAGCACAATGTAAATCAGAACAATTCTAATTGTTGGTTCAGTTTAGGTTCAGTGTAGGTTCATGGAAGGACTGCTTAAAATTACTGTACTGGTTACTGCGAGTGTGATGGGACATGCCACTCATTGCAATTATGCTAAAATTTAATTAATTGTAGCGGTTAAAGAGTCAACTTGAATTAAAGCTTTCTGCTGCTTTCTGCTCTAGTGTGGTTTTACAACAGAAGTGTGATAGCTTTACTTCCGTTTTCTTAGACACATCACTACCAAGTTTGTGACATGCATAAGATAACTTACATATTTAAAGCAGCTTATGTATCAGTAGAAAGGAAAGTTATTGGTAGCATTGTAATTTTGCAAGGACTCCTCTTCAGCAAGAACAAGTTAGAGAGCTGGAAATTTAACAATTAATTTTAGTCATCCATAAAATGCTCATTTCAATTTGAAGTGCTTATTTTTTCATTAGAATTTCATGGGATTATATCCAGTAAAATCATACTTAAACGTGTCCCTAATTACCTTGCTTAGGTTTAGCCTCGTTGCCAAGGTTAGAGCAACTGTCTTTATACTGATAAATCATATCATCTGATGTATAAACTAGACTGATCAGATGCAACTTAAAGCTAAAGCTCAACTCTAGAGTTAATGTAAAAGAACATTGATAAATTATTGCATAAAATTATTTATAAGCTGTCACATGCCCACATTGGGAGCCAGTAAAGTTTACCTCAAGATAATTGATCCCTGTTGAGTTTAACTCTGCTGTCCGGGTCAGGGCTTTTCTTGGGGCATCAGCAGGACTCTCCATAGGCTAGGCTTTATTGAGGCCTTTTAACAATAAAATGAGTGGAATTCCCAAACTAGCCTTTGAAGTCACCAAGATATGACCTCTTCAAGTGGGGTTTGGGGAGGGGCATGCAAGGGAGATTACCCCATATCTTCCCCTACTCCGGAAAATGGCAGAACCAAAATCAGGAGGTGGAAACCAGGTGCAACTTGATTCCAGGCCTCTTCCTTGCTGTTATCCAAAATTTTACAGGTTTTCTGCCTTAAGAAAACATAAAGAGCTAAAGTAAACCATTTGGTCTTTTGAACCTTCTCTCATTCAGTTAGCTCAGAGCTGATCTACTGTCCTCAAACCCACTTTTCTGCACTATTTCCAAACTCCTTAATTCCCTTAGTATTTAAAAACCTATTAGCTTCTACCTTGAATGGGGACTGAGAATGCACAGCTCTGAGGTAAGAATTCCAAAACTCTCAACCTTTTGAGCGGAGTTATTTCTCTTGACCTTGATCCTAAGTGGATGACTCCTTTTCCTGAAATCGTGATCCCTTCTCTAGATGCACAGAATCACAAAAAGAGGCCAATCACCCCATCATATCTGCATCAACTGTTTGAGTATTTTGACTTAATACAAAACTTCTATCTCTTCCCCATAACTCTGCACATTTGGATGATTATTTAAATAGAAATGATGCCCTTGTGAATGATATAGTCGAACCTTTTTAAGAGCAAATTACTGCAAATGCTGGAATCTGAACTGAAAACAAAAAAAAAATACTGGAGATCACAGTGGGTCAGGCAGCATCCATGGAGAGAAAGCAAGCTAACGTTTTGATCTGGATGACTTTTCACCAGAGCTAAATTGAAGCTCTGAAGATTCATGTAGGCTTGAAACAGTTGAACCTTTCTCTGCCAAACTTCTAGGCAGTGCATTCCAAACCCAGACCACTACTGTGTGAAAAAGCTTTTTCTCATCTTGTTTTTGCGTCATTTGCAAAACACTTCAAAACTGTGCCTTCTCATTCTTCATTCTTTTGTGAACAGGGACAGTTTTACCCCATCGAGTCTGTCCCAATCCTTCATGATTTTGAAAATGTCTATCAAATCTGCCTTCAGCTTTGTCCTTTCTATGGAAAGCAATTCCAGCTTCTCCGGTCTAAGCTTATGACTGAAGCTTCTCATCCCTGGAACCATTCTCATAAACCTCTTTTACACTCTCTCAAATGTGTTGATAACCTTCCTAAAGCAAGGTGCCCGGGACCGTACACAACACTTCAACTGAAGTCTAACTAATGTGCTATATAAGATTAGCATAATCTCCTTGCTCTTGTACTCTCTGCCCCTATTAATGAAGCCTAGAACACTATGTTTTATTAGCAGCTCTCTGCCAATCCTGCCAGTTTTAAAGGTTTATGCACATTTACACCCGCTTGATTCAATTTCCCACGTTCTTACCCATTCACTGACCTTTCTGGAGCCTCTATGCATTCTCCTCAATGCCTACCTTCTCACCTAACTTTGTATTTCCAGCCAATTTAAATGCATTGCACTTAGTTCGTTTATCTAAGTTATCAACAGGAATTGAAAATAGGTGAGGCACAAATATTGCTCCTTGCAGTAACCTGCTGACACAAAAATGTGATCAATAATGTCTTATTTATTCCTAATTCTTGTTTTCTGTCAATAAACATCTTCAATCTACAACAATATATTAACCCCAATTTCACAAATCACGATTTTGTGTAGTCACCTTTTGCATGATATACTATACAGCGAAATGATCTTTGAAAATCCAAATTGGTCTAATTGGAATTTTGAGCTCTCTATGTTGAAACCAGAACTCATTGCAATCAACAACTCATCATTCATTCATTGGATCTTAAAGCTTCTTATCCTTCCCAGTTTTCATCAGCCTACAATCTTTAAGATATTGAAATCAAATTTCATTTTAATTGATCATCATTCCCTATCTTGTTGAATGTTTCCTCAACCTTTGTGGTATTTTGCACTTCAGCCTTTACCTTTTACTTGGAAGTATCTCCGTAAAACTGATGCAACTATCTGGTTGTATTTATCTTACAGCAATGCCCAGCAGCAAATAACACGACACCCTACTACAGAAATAGTGACGGACAACTGCTATACAACCTCACAGGTTACAATCTGCAAGACTACTTAATATCAACAGAAAACATATTTGGACAAAAAAGGTAAAGTACAGTTGCTGAATCAGTGTTATGAAGAACTGTTTTTAAAGATGTTGGGCTCAATCTTACATTTTTTTGGCTAAGTCTGAGTTGCTTCAAGATTTTTGGAGTGTTTTTGTCTCAAGACCTCATGAATTTTGTTATTGTGTCTTGCCAAACTCACCTCTTTATATATGTACCCCATCCCTACAGCATCCCTTATGTCTGATTTCTGCCTCATCTTACCATGCACCCTTTCCACTGGCAACATTTGTACCCGTGCCTGTTGAGCATCTAGACAAGCACTGTAAGTCCAGAACCACCTGACATTTGCCCCAGAAAGGGCAAACAGGGAAAAATCAAACTCCACTCAGTTGACAAGGTTTGAGAAGTCTTGCTGGAAGAGGCGATGCCAATTAGAGCATTCTTCCTCCCCCCAAACCAGCAATAGTGGCCATGACACTAGACCATGCCAGCCTGGTCCAATATTGCTACCCTGGTTAACCTCAGACATCAAGAGGAATGCCCAGCACTGTAGCTAGAATGTCCTTTTCCACTCTGCCAAGAGGAGTGCCATCATTGTCTCTCCAATACCTCATACTTGCTGTGTCTGTGCTGTTGTACCCACTTCCGATCAAGGGTCACGCTCTACTAGTCCATTGTTGCCTGCAAGATCTTCCCTAATTGCTTTCACTCATCTAAAACTCCAACACCATTAGCCTTGCATGTCTCACCTTACCACATGCACTGTCACTCCGGGACACCTCTCCACCCACGCTGAGAGTAATTGCAATGCCACCCACATCAACACCGGCATAATCTACCCCGTCTCTCATTCCAGGAGGGAAACACAGCACAATAGGCCAGATAAACTCAGAACATCACCTGTCATTTGGCTCCTCACTTTTTATGTAGTGAGGAGCCTGAATCTGACCACCCTAACTAGGATCAGGACTGGTATCAAAGGCTGCCTTTCACTTACTATCCAGGAACCCCCTGAATGAAGGCTATGCCCCTGGATGCAAATGAGGCCTGCTGACAACCATGACAAGCTTTCTGCCTTTGTGTCTGCTAAACAGTATGGCCAAACCGCTGTAATATGTAACAAACTAAGGTAACGCTGGAGAAACTCAGCAGGTCTGACAGCATCTGTGGAGATAGAAACAGAGCTAAAGGTTTTAGTCCAATATAACTTCTTCAGACAGATTTTGCCAGACCTGCTGGGTTTCTCCAGTATGTATAACATTTTGTTTTCAGCAGTAATATGAATCTGGTATCCCTGGCTGAGAAGGCAAAATACAAAAAGGCAGGTAAGGCAATGCAGGGCAGGGATGCTGTGAGCATCATAGGAGCTGCTGAGTGCGTTATCTTGCAATAACCTGTTGCTTTTTAAGATAGATTTTCTGCTCTTTAAGATTTTTACACAAAGTTGAGGCATTAAGAGGTGTGGACTGTTTTCTAAATGAGGAAAGGCTTCTGAAATCTGAAGCATAAAGGGACTTATGAGTCCTTGTTCAGCATTCTCTTAAGGTTAACGTACAGGGTCAGTTGCCAGTTAAGAAGGCAGTTGCAATGTTAACATTCATTTTCAGAGGGCCAGAACACAAAAGTAGAGTCAAACTACTGAGGCTGTATAAACTCTGGTCAGATCACATTTGGAATATTGTGAGCAGTTTTGGCACCATATCTAAGGAAGGATGTGGTATCTTTGGAGGGGGTCCAGAGGAGATTTGCAGGAATGATCCCAGGGGTAAAGGTCGTGTCATAGGAGGAGCAGTTGAGAAATCTGAGCCTATTGAGTTTAGAAGGATAAGGGAGAATCTCTTTGTAATTTACAGAATATTGAGAGGCCTGAATAAAGCGGATGTGGAGAAGATGTTTCCACTAGTAGGAGAGACTAGCACCCGAGGGAACAGTCCCAAAGTGAACGGATGACCCTATAGAACTGAGATGAGGAGGAATTTGTTCAGCCAGAAGGTGGTGAACTCATTGCTACAGAAGGCTGTGGAGGCCAAGTCATTGAGTGTATTAGACAGGTTCTTGATTGCTAAGGGAATCAATAGTTACGGGGAGAAGGCAGGAGAATGAGTATGAAAAGCAAATTAACCATTATCCAAATGGTGGAGCAGACCCAATGAGCCAAATGGCCTAATTCTACTCCGATCTCTTATGGTCTAAATTTCTGACATTGATACTATGAATTGATGTAATTGATTGATTGATGCCAAAGAAGTAGTAAACTGAGGCTTTTTTCCAGGAATGTATTTTAAAGTCATAGAATCATACAGCGTGGAAACAGACCCTACAGCCCAACTCGTCCATGCCGACTAAACTGAACAAGTCCCATTTGCCTGTATTTGGCTCATATCCCTCTAAATTTTTCCTATCCATGTACCTGTCCATATGACTTTTAAATGTTGTGATTGTACTCGCCGCTACCACTTCCTCTGGCAGCTCGTTCCATACATGCACCATCCTCTGTGTGAAAAAGTTGCTCATCGGGTCTCTTTTAAATTTTTCACCTCTCACCTTAAAACTATTTCCTCTAGTTTGGACTCCCCTTCTCGGGGGAAAAGTCCTTGGCTATTCATCTTCTCTATGCTCTTCATGATTTTATGAACCTCTATAAGGTCACCCTCAGCCTTCTACACTCCAGGGAAAAAAAAGTCCCAGCCCATCCAACCTCTCCTCATCACTCAAACCCTCCAGTCCCGCTAACATCTTTGTAAATCTTTTCTGCATCCTTTCCAGTTTAATAACATCCTTTTAAAAGCCTCGACTTGGTCAATTTCAGAATCATGCTAAAGATCTGCAAATGGTTTATTGGTTTATACATAGTGCATACTAGGATAGTGGATATGGAGGAGGCATGAAAAGAGCATGAAGGACACGAGGAACATGAAAAATATTGGATGCACATTAGAAATAGGAGTATATGGAGCGCTACCCAATTCTGTGAAATACACTACCTGACGACTGTTTCTGCCCTATTGTGGGCTGTATTCCTCCTGGAATAAGAATGATGGGGGGAGAATAAGGCAGCATGGGAATTGGATCAATGAGATATTGAGTGCAAGTCTTTAAGGGCTGTGCCCCGATACACGAAGGTGGGCACTCCAGCCTACAGGCCCCTCCATCTGTCTATCTCCATTGCCAGCTCAGAAGGTGGTGGGCCCAACTGCATCTTTTCCCTGAATGAAAATATGGTGGATGGGAGCCTCCTGAATGGAAAAAAGTCTGTGGAGTCAGGAACATTTCTCCTGACTAACCCTAATTCCTGATCTTTGTCTCTTTCCTGAAAATATGACCCTACATCATAAAATTAAATAAAACATTGCCCTTGTCATCTACAATTTAGATGTGGGTCCATTCCACTTCCTTTGTGAATTGACAAGTGAGTCAGTGTGCACTGTTCTTCCTGGAATTTAGGCCCATGTAGGATGACTCATTCGGTCTGCTGAATTGATGGGGCCTCATGGGAGATGAACATTCAAGTTGGGATGTGTTATTGTGTCAAGCCTAAGGTGACCATATTTATCATCTGGAATTTTGAGATATGTGGAGAAGTAAAAGGAGAACAAGGCATTTCACAATGCAGGCAAGCCTTGACTGAAGATAGAGTTGGAAGGTCATGATGTACAGGACTTTGGTGAGGCCTCTTCTGGAATATTGTGCCCAGTTACAAGTGCTGAAAAATGGGATTAGAATAGTTGGGTCAACAAGGTGCAGGGCTGGATGAACACAGCAGGCCAAGCAGCATCAT